TTCTGAAGATAAATTCTTACTAATAAATGTCGGCCTTGGTCTATCACCTGGACCTATGTGAATTTCTTCCAAATCATCAGCCGACATGAAACCCTGTCCTTGCTTGTCATCGAGATCATCTACTGTGTCCTTGGTGTAGACGTTTGAACCCTCCATGACGCCCTCAAAAGTTTGAACCCTCCACGATGCCCTCAGAATAATAGCTTGGGCTCTCCATCTTCAATTGGTTGTATATCAGAATCAGACACTTTTAGAAAATCTCCATCCCAAACTTTACCAGATAAGCAATCGAGACCATCCATCTCCCAAAGAGCTAAATCGGCACTGGCAACATTGACTGACCTGTCGGCTGGCACAATTTTAATCTTGTCGCCTTGCCTCTGAATCAAGCATTGATGCATGGTTGAAGGAATACAACAATTAGCATGAATCCAATCCCTTCCAAGCAACAAGTTGTAAGAACCCTTCCCATCGATGACAAAGAATGTTGTAGGGATAGTTTTGTTGCCGACTGTCAGTTCCACATTCAAAACCCCTTTGGTTTCTGATGGATTGCCACCAAAATCTTTGAGCACCATGTTTGTCTTGATGAGATCCTCAACATTTCTGCTCAGCTTCCTAAATGTAGCATAAGGCATCAAATTCACTGCAGCCCCACCATCGACCATCATCTTAGACATCGACTTCCCATTGACGTAGTCATTTATATACAATGGTTTAAGATGCCGATTCTCTGTCCCTTCCGGCTTCTCGAAGACTGCTTGTTCTGGTGACAAAATCAACTTAGCCGATTCCCCTTCAACTTTATCGACATCGGCTTGCTTGACCCCAAATTCAGCAGGCAACGTGAAAACCATGTTAACCGATGCAATCACAACACCTTTTCCTTTAGCCAATCTATTTGCTTCATCGGCTGCAGGAGCTTGATTCTTAACACGCCACTCCTGCTTCGGCTTCGTCTTCTTTAACCGATGATTGATTTCTTACTCAACCTCCTGAAAGTGCTCCCTGTTCTTCAACCTTTGAACCCTTCTCTTCTGATTCTTTGTAAAAATACTATGACATCATTGAGTCTTCCTGCCTTCATTGTTCTCTTGGTTACAATCTTGGTTCACCGGGCCCAACCTTTGATGAACAGGAACTCTTGCTTGCCTTAGCTGATTGCCTCTATTATACGATCGGCTTGAACCTTCTGCAACATTACTGCACCCAGGACAGTCTTCAATAGATGGTAGCCTCATACCTTCATTCCAGCAAAATCTAAAGAACTCACAGCCCCAATGAGGATCAAAACCGCCATCGTCTTCTTCATAATGCATTTCCTGCTGTTTGTCATACTTCTTCTGATACTTTTTGATAATTTTAGCCGAATTCACCTGAAAACCTCTTGCACGACCTCCATCGGCTGTTCGACCAGCTGTATGCACCATATTGACAAGAAAAGGATTACCATCAACCTTCATCGGCCTCTTAGAATCATCAAATTTGATTTTGCCTCCTTCAATAGCTGCCTGGACCTACTGCCTGAAGACCTTGCAATCATTGGTAGAATGAGACCCAGAATTATGCCACTTGCAATACCTTCTCTTGCTCAATTCTTCAGCCGATGGGATTGTATGACCAGCAGGAAGTTGAATCTGTTTCTCTCGAAGTAGCAAATCGAAAATCTTATCAGCCTTGGTAATATCAAAGTCATACCTCTCCTCTTTTCCAGAACTCCTCACCCATTGGCATGGTATAACCTTTTTGCTTCTAACCCAATCGGCTGCTGCTATCTCAGAATCATTATCATCATCGTCATCCGATCCATATATGTAAGGACAGACATGATTAACCTTTTTAAAGTTCTTCCTGGCTTCTGCGAATCTCTGTTCATGCAAGGTTACCTTCTGTGCAAGATGTGATAAACTATCAAAGTCTTGAGACGAGAATTTCTCCCTGATCGGAGCTATCATACCCTGAAAAGCCAAATCGGCCAACTGGGCATCAGTCAAACTCAAGCTGTAACATTTATTTCTCATCTCTCTGAACCTCTGAATGTACTCATGCACAGGCTCATCATGCCTTTGCTTAAACGTTGTTAAATCAGATAATTTCATCTGATGAATCCCACTGTGGAAATAGCTATGAAAATGCTTCTCCAAATCGGCCCAACTGTTGATTGATCCACATGGCAAAGAAGAAAATCAAGTGAAAGCCGATCTAGACAAAGACAATGGGAACAACCTAACCCTCAAGGCATCCACAGCCGATGCTTCACCACACTGAGCTAAGAATCGGCTAACGTGTTCATAGGTTGAAATGCTATCTTGCCCTGAGAACTTTGAAAAGTCTGGAACCTTGAATCGGTCAGGCAAAGGAACCCTCTCAAACCACTCGGGGTAAGGATGCCGATACAAATTTCCAGCATCTTTGGGCTTAAGCCCGAACTATTCTCTCATTACATCTGCGATCATATCGGCCCATGGTCGTTGCTGAGGTGCTCCTTGTGCTTGTTGCGGCACAGGCTCGAACTGATTGTATTGAGGAACAAACTGGGGCTGAGCCGATCCTCCCTGCTGATATTGAACTTGTGGCGATGGAGGCTGATACTGATAATTCAAATTGCCCCCCTGGTAATTTTGAAAGTTTGGCTGAATATTGCGCACCAAATGTTCGGGAACAACTTGAGGTACCACCGTTTGATCTGGTTGCACATGATGAACCAAATGTTCTGGGACGACTCTACAGCGTGCTGCCTTTGCTGATTGTCAAGTGTTCCAAACCCAGCCGACGCATTCATCAAACCACAACCTGCCGCCTTGGTGGCGTCTGTTGAATCGGCTGCACAACCTGCTGCCTTGGTGGTGTTTGCTGAATCGGCTGCTGCTGGATTGGGTCAACAGTAGGTTGAGGTGGTAAGAACATAGCTGTAACCTGATCTTGCGTTAGCCGATTCACATTCTGTCCACTATGCTGTAGTTGCTCTCTCACCAACAACTGAGGATTAACTAATTGACTTAGTGCCGATAATGGTGCAGCAGGTGCGGGAGCCGATACTGGTACCGTCGGCTGAACCGATGGTGCATGAGGAGGAATTGACTGAACAGCTGGCTGATTATCAGTGATTAAGGGCCGATAATTCGGGAAGACACCTCCTGGCAAATAAACCGGTCCTGTAGCTTTATATTCAGCTATCGAGCCATCAACCATCGACTTCACCATGTTTGACAAAGTGTTAACTAATATCCCAGATTGATTGATCAAAGCATGTTGCACGGCATAGTCAACCTGATCCTGGAAGTTGTTAAACTGTAGCTGTACCGTGTTGCCATCTTGATTAAGATTTCCACCTTGAAATCCCTGAGAACCATCACCTTAAATTCCTTGAGAACCAACACCTTGAACCCCTTGAGAGCCATCACCTTGAACTCCTTGAGAACCAACTGTAGCACCTTTATCACTTGGTTGAGCTGCACCATCTGGAGCTTGTTGTACCTCTCTATCCTTGGAAGAACCTGTTCTGGGAACATCAGCAATTACTTTTACTTTATACTTCTGAACAATTGTTCCCTTGCGGGTCTGCATGAACGAGTTCAAGAATTGGTTACATGCTTGTTGCATCATTGCTTCAAGATCCTTCTGCTGCTTAGGTGTCAAGTTGTCCAGAGTGATGGTCACGATGTCGCCTTCATCAACCTCAGATAAACCAAGCTTCTGGATCTTAGATTTAACAGAGCCATCTTTACCAGCTGAAGCCGGCGATGCTGGTGGTTTCTCATCCATGAGGAAACGTCGTTGTGATGCTGACTTGTAATCAGTCCCACCGGGCGTGCCAAAAGCGTGTTGATATGAAAACACGGGGCTTGGGAGATCTGCTTAACTCCAGTGCAGGTCCAAAACTCGCCTTCGGGTATGCTAGCGTGCCAGTTGATTTGATCCTGCAATCAACAAGAAACAAATACAAAGAATCCGTGGTTAAATCCATAAACGATAGCCGATCGGTCAGGTGCCGATGACGTATCATTTATCTTTGAGCCGATGTCATATATACATCGATCGGCAATCATTAATAAGTAAGAAAGAGATAAATTTACTTGATCGGCTGTAGATATTAATGATATATAATCTCTATGTCGATATATACTTAAAATCAAGTGACTGGGATAGATCGGTCGCCATGCCGAGACAGTATAAATCACTTTCATCGAAATATATACTAACAACAAGATTATATATGCTCATAGCATAGCCGATCAGATAGATCTAGCATGAACCGGCTAATACTCCGATATCACTCTGTATTAAGATATTAAAGCAGGTAAAATATACCAAACAAAAGCCTAATATACTTAAATGCAACAAGATCTTAATATAAAGGGCAGAATTAACATGTCAGCAAAGCATATAAGATAAATATGGTTAAATCAGGTAAGATCGGCTGAAACCCCGATGCTACCCTAATCGGCAACCAAGAAGCAGGCTAGAGGTTGAGATTTTAATTACGACTCATAAGATCAAACTCAACTGATGCAGCTATAAGTATAAAAAGAAGGACAATATCTAGACAATCAAGCCATTGGAAGTTTCATAGAGTTGTGGATATCATATATAATCTAAGCCAACGTCGCTATCTAACCTAATCGGCTGCCTTCTACCGACATATGTTAGCTGATTGTAGATTAGATAGCAATATTGCCAGAGATTATATAAGATATATAATAACTTGACGAATTACATAAACAAGATTAGAGTATCATAAAGATGGAAGCACTAATCCCGAGAACGCAAGCCGCCATAAAAAGTTTTACCTCTTGTTGAAGATCGAAACCGATGCAGCTCAACCCGAAAGTAAGAACTTGTCGAAATAAAACGAAAGCAAAAAGGGTGGCGATGCGCCGAGATTGTATTGAACGTGTGTTCGTTTGATTACATGGGGTTCGGGGTCTATTTATACCTGAGAATTACAAAACGTGTCCATATCGGACACGACTCTTATCTCTAACAAACTCTAAGATACCATAAGTCTTTGTGGCAGACTTTTGCCCAAACATATCTCTAAGGAAATTACATAAAATATCCTAATTAATAGATATAATTGCCTTCTCAGGACTCTATCCATGTGTGGCAATCATCTTGAAGCACGTCAACCTAACCCGACAATGTATGTCGTGTCACATTGTCAGATTCGGCTCGATCGGCTAACCCTGTCTGACTCGATCTCTGCCGACCCTAGTCGTAGCCGATTTGGACTTCAACCGATCCTTACTCTGTTTCCGGGATGATTTTCATCTCGAATTCCATTTCGGTTTCTTCTTCATCTCCTATCCTTGAATTACCAATAACAGGTTTATATATCAGCAATAAGCTAACATAATACATTAACCTTACCTTAAACTTTTCAAATCAGATCTTCTACCTAGCACCATGTGACTGACAGTGTGGTGATGCATCTATCGTTTGAGTGCAGGTAGGCGTAGTGGCGGTAACGATCCCTTTCCTGATTCTTTCCTCGTCGCACAACGGGTTCGTCAGGATCTGGATTGTGTTGGCCATATACATGAGCATCAGAGCCTTTATTAGCACCTGGAGGTAATTAATTAACACTCTATATACATTCTTGTGCAACTGCCCGCGGTTTTGCTGTCTGAATAAAATTGACCTTAATTTTAAATTTTGTTTTCGATAATTTGGAAACAATTTCTATATGCGCGTAATCGATCTAACTGAAGGTTTTATGTACTATTTATGTATGATGGAAGCAGACAGGGGGCCATGGACGTTTCTTCGCACATGGGCACCTGGCCAGTCCAAAAGCAAAAAATGGTTTTGTTTGGGGGGGAAATGGTGAGATACTGATCAAGTTTGTGGTTTTGATGTGTGATGCGATGATTAATCATGTGATTAGACAACACATTATAGAACCTCTTTTTTTGTGCAGGAACCAAAAAATGCGTGGAATTTACGTGCTTCTATTGGGGATTCTGCTATTTGATCTCACCTTGCAGGTGTTGGTTAGCAAGCTGGATTAATTCGTTAGAATATGCCAAATTTTGGGTTGTGTCCGCATATTTAAGTTCGTTTTTAATCTGTTTGTTGGTTCTATACTTAGGGTTGTACCTGTCCGGAGGAAGAAGGAAACAGCATGGCGAATCTTCGTTCTGAAAGGGCATGCGTGCCGGCGGGAGTGTTGGTCGGATGGTGGCAACGCATGCTTTGGCGTTTGGGGCGGAGAGGGTGGGCCTTGCCGTGGGTGAAACGATGCTGCACACTGGGCTCTAGGCTAGCATGGCAGCGCAACGTCACAATGCCTTTGTCTGGCACGCTGCGCACTCCCTCACTCATTTACACCTGTGGCCACCGTCTGTCCTTGCTTCAGTCCTTGGCCTGGTTTAATTGATGGACATTTTGAGATTGTGTTAGTGATGATGAGTAACAACAAGATACTATACATCAGCGGAGTCTGAGACTGACAACAACAATGGCATGCAAAATTCAACTCATATAAGGTGAGTTGGTTTGATTGAGTCGTCCATTTTGCATTAGTTATTTTTTGAATTATTTCTGTTCGCAATGGTCTACTTTGGTTATGCTGACCGTTTAGTATTGGGTACATACTTATGTTTCCAAGCAATACCAAGGTGCCATTGAGAATAATCTATGTTATATGTGATTTTGTAGGTACCGAGCGTTTTGTTGGGTTTGCTATCTATTGGATGCCTTCTTTACTTCTGAGGATGCGGTTGGTTGCATTGCATGTATGCCTGATGTTTGTCTATATGTGTATGTACGTGTTCCGATGCACACGTGTCTGCCTGAGTGTTGCGTTGCATGTCCACGTTCCACTGCAGCACCTGCCGTTGGGGCAATGGGGCATGGACGCGAACCCTGGGATCTCAAAGCCGTCCTAGATACTTCATTCTTTCGTGCTTATTAGCTCCCTCTATTTTATTGTGCTTTTGCTTAATAATGGAATGTAATTTTTGTCTTTGCCAGTATATTAGCTTATATTTAACCACTACATATATTCTGCATCTCAATGTATTCTGTCGCATCGTATTACCCTCGACGTAGTTCCTTAATCCGTTAAGTACTTTAGTTGTCCCTGTTCTGTTGTACTATATTATTTATGAATAATATATAATGTCTTTGGTAATGTATTATCTTGTACTTAACAAGTTCAAGCATATGTATTCATGCGCGGCGACAGCGGCGTGTCGCCGCGCTTATCCTTCTAGTAAAAATCCAAGTTCGGAAGTCTTCGGAAGAGTTCGGATATGGCTCTAGCAGCTTTCTTTTCTTCTTTTGTAAGGCCTATACTTTATTTAGAATATTCTTCTTTATACAATTCTGGTATTATAATACTCTCCGAGTATATGAATACCAACTTTACTTTATATCCGAGTTATATTGATTATACTGCTAGCTTATTTGGGAGATATAATGGTACGGGTATAGTGTTTGCTTATGCAATCACTCTGTCATGACGATGATATTAGAGTAGTATCTGGTAGTTTAGGCGTGGTGTCTTACTGGGTATCATTATTTGGGGTTATATGCTGCGGAAGAGAGGTGGGCCGCTGATGGTGACAGCTCAGCACGGGTATTCCTCCGCACGTGTATATAGTCTAAGTTAATTTCCTGAGGAGGATACTTCTCCGTATTTAGCCCCGGTTGTATAGTCATGACGGGCTGTCGTAAGGAATTCGGCAGTCAGGGGTGGCTTCTCGAAGTACCAGGAGGGCATTGGAAAGATGGTATTAGCTAGTTAATCTTATAGCTAGGATGTATATATTATATGTATACTAGAAGTATAGGAATATATTCTTTTCTATTTTCTTTTCACCTAGCTTAGATAATTTAATATGAGAATGAGTAGCCTTATGCTTGTGTGTCACTCTACCCTTTGCTTATATTATCCCCTATTTAGACTATGGTTATTACAGGTAATATATAAATTATTAGTACAGTTCTCTCTACTATAATCTTTCCATGGGATTAAACAAATACGATACACTTGGAATACTCTCGGGTGAAATGTTACAATGGTATATCCGTGCGCGCTTGCGGATAAAATATGTAACCATAATATACTAGGAGTATTTCTGCACCATTGATGAGAATTATATTTCTAGTAATGTTGTTAAGAAATACCAACAGTTATAACAAGGTATAAACACCCAACAGATTGAGACAATTATACGGATGAACTATTAATACAATATGTGTTGTATTCAATTGCTCTTATCGAGTGAACATCTCTGTTCTCCGCCTTATCTATATTTTAAAGATGCGTTCGCCACTGGATGGAAATAGAGGCGGATCTACCCATTAGGCAGGGTGGGTCGACCAACTCAGCTACAACTCGTGTCACCCTACATGCTCATGACCCCCTTATCCCCTTATAGTAGTCGTGGGCCATCAAAATTTGGTATAACAAGGTATAAACATCCAACAGATTGACACAATTCTACGGATGAACTATTAATACGATATGTGTTATATTCGATTGCTCTTATCGAGTGAACATCTCCATTCTCCGTCCCATCTATATTTTAAAGCTGCGTCCGCCACTCATGGAATCAGGGGCGGATCTACCCATTAGTCAGGGTGTGTCGACCGGCTCAGCTACAACTCATGTCGCCCCACACCCTCAAGACCCCTTATCCCCTTATAATAGTCACGGGCCATCAAAATTTGGTATAACAAGGTATAAACACCCAACAATTGAGACAATTATACGAATAAACTATTATAGCAAATTTAATAGTATAGCCAACTACTAACTCGAAATCACCTATAGTCAATTTAACAGTCAATTCATATAATAGTTACATACTACACTGTTAATACCTGGTCTCATCTATCATACGCACTGTGTCTTGGAGTCCATGCTACAGCTGGCTACAAATCTTTAGTTTGTTGCTATTTTCTCTTCTCTTTTATCTTTATAAAATATATTTATAGCTGTTATTGTACATTCTCTTAATACGATATATGTTGTGTTCGATTGCTCCTATCGAGTTAACATCTCCGTTCTTCGTCCCATCTATATTTTAAATTTGCTTACGCCACTGGATGGAATGGCGGCTCGGGAGGTGGGGATTGGAAGCTGTTGCTCGCGTTCGTATTAGAGAAAGGACGGGAGTGAAGGACGGCTAACCGGCGACGAGGATCGACCTGCGATGGCGGCGGCGATGGTGACCCCGATTTGGGTATATTTGCTCTGATTGCGATCGGGCTCCGGCGAGGGCCTAATTGGGGTCACTGGGTTTAGGGGAACTTGATGGCGGCGGCATGGTGGAGAATGGAAGGTGTTGGTGGTGGCTTGGCGGCGTGAAGCGGAGAGCGAGTGCGGCGACGGTGAGTGTCGCTCGCGAAGGTCGAGCCCGAGCAGGCGCTAGAGTGGTAGAGTGAGGCGCGGTAGGTGATGGGTAGCGCTAGAGGACGGGCGGTGGCTCGGGGAGTTATTTTTCGCCGGTGCCGAGTGCGGAGACGAAACGGAGCGGCACGATGGGACAGGGCAGAGCGCGTGTCGGCCGACAGCGGCGCAGCAGCGAGCGGTGCTGGCGCAGGGGCGGACCTGTGTACGCGCACGGCGGCGGAGACCAGCAAGATGGACGTCGCGAACTCGTGGCTCGGCGTGTGAAAGCGCTATTCCAGGGGTGGCAGAGGGGCTGCGAGTGGCGGCGTGGTGTCGGGAGGTGCCGGTGCAGACTGTGCAGTGGAGGTGTTGCGGTCAAGCACGGCAGCAAAGCGGCATGTGGACATTTTGTCGACCGGCTGCCGGGCGTGGGGAAGAAAAGGAAGGGCCGAAGGATGTAACAGACGGTAGCGGCATGTGGGCCCCGCTGTCGGTGGAGGAGCGGACGCGTGCATGCTGCGGCCCACGGGCCGGTGCGGCAGAGTGGGCCGCGCGAGCGTGAGTGCGAGTGCGGGTGAGTGGGCCCGCGGCAGACGTTGGGCAACGGTCGGCGGATGCTTGGATCGAGATCTATCCGTCCGGTCGTCGCGTCGTTTTGAGGGCTGTTCCGTCCGTCTAGTAGTATATTCGTTCAGAAATCCCCTCTTCTCCCAGATCCGCCTCTCGCTCCCCCAACTCCAGTTGTCGCAGGAGACGCGCCGCTCCCTCCACCGATCCATCACCGTTGCCCCTGCTTCACCGAGGCCTGCAGGGCTTACCCACCGCCAACTCTACTCCACCCCCTAACTCCCCTGCCGCCGTCCTTCTTCTTCCTTAACTTCGGCGCAGGGCCGCCGCCACGTCGCACCGGGGTAACTTCGAGTGCTCCCAAGGTGACAAACTTTCTTTCGCTTTACTTGGCCTATTTTGGAAGATATCACTTAACCTCTTATTTAGGAGATATTACTTAACCTCTTTGACGGGTTCCCATGGGTTTAGCTTTTGAGGCTTCCCCTGTGATCTGTTTTTTTTTTCTCTATCTCTATTAATATACTACTACTAGTTGTTTTTTTTTCTCCATCTCTATTAATATACGAGGCAAAGCTTTTGCCCTCTAAAAAAAATCTTGGCCTATTTTATTCATGCCTCATAACCCGTCACGTTTAATCGCTCGTCGCCTGATCCGGGCCGAACACGGAGTAGAATCCGTTTCGGTATACATAACCGGATGTTCTTATGCTGGGTGTGTTTATAACTAGTTATAAGACTCCATGCATGCTACAAGGCATCTAATCCAGTCATTGCTAGCATAGACAGCACCCCCTGCCCTGAGTATACGGTATTCCACCCATATTTCTGTTAACGAGGTATATTTGCTGTTGCTAGTGCTTATTACGCCATGGACTTGAATACCGCAAAGAGTATGATGCTGGACGACAGCAACATCAGCCCAAGAAAGAAGACATTCACGACACGTAAGAACACCATGCTGAGCATAAGCAGAAACATCAATCCAGCAGACCAAGAAATGCTCAAAACATACAAGAGGAGAAGAGTGAACAGGGCTTCCATCCCTCAGTTGTTAGACGACACTGGTGGAGAAACCATCTTTGGTCGGTCGACCAGATTTCACAATAGTCCCGGTTATATTAAAAACCGCGACTAAAAATATCTTTAGTCCCGGTTTTAAAGCTCTAGGGGTACTTTCCAATCTTTAGTACCGGTTGGTGTTACCAACCGGGACTAAAGATCTATTTGTAGTCCCGGTTGGTAACACCAACCGGGAAAAAAGATCGCTATACACTTTACTCCCGGTTGGTATTACCAACCGGGACTAAAGATCTATTTATAGTCCCGGTTGGTAACACCAACCGGGAAAAAGATCGACGCGGAGATCGGAGAGGCCTGCACGATATCTCCTCCTCTCCTTTTAACTCCTCCCTCCTCCTCTCCTCAACCTTATCTCCTCCTCTCCTTTTAACTCTCTCCTCAACCTTATCTATTCCTCTCCTTCTCCTCTCTACACTGCAGCGGTGCGGCGAGGGTGCCAGGCCGGCGCGAAGCGGCGGGGCGCGGAGGCCAGGCCGGCCGACGCGGCGGCGGCCGCCGGCGGCCTCGCGGCCGGCGCGAGGGTGGCGAAGCGCGGAGGGCGGCGCGGCGCGCAGCGATGCGGCGGCCGCCGGCGCGGCGCGCGGTGAGACGGTGGCCGCCGGCGGCCTGCGGCTGTGGCCTGGCGGCCGGCGCAAGGGTGGCGCGGCGCGTGGCAAGGCGGTGGTGGCCGGGCGCGGCGGTGGCGGCGGCGAGAGGCGGTGGCGGCGCGGCACGGCGGCAAGCCGGGCGGGAGCCGTGGCGGCGGCCGGGCGGGCGGGCGTGGCGGCAAGCCGGGCGGTAGCAGCGGCGCCCGGCAGGAGCCGCGGCGGCGGGCGGGCGTGGCGGCCGAGCTGGCGCAGACGCCGAGAGGACGGGGACCGGGAGGCCGGCGGCGCCCTCCCATCTGATGCCGATTTTTTTTTTTGATTTTGTGTTTCATTGGATTTGATCTGTGATGTATGTGATATTGGATCTGATCTGGGATGTATTTGAGTTGTGATGCATTTCTTTTAGGATTTGTGATGTATTTTTCGTTTGAGATTTGGTGATGTGATGTATTTGTGATCTGTGATGCATTTCTTTGCAATATGTGATGTATTTCTTCCCAAATCTGTGATGCTTGTGGATGATTTGGGATATTTAGGGAGCAAATCGATTGAGCAATGAAACAACAACAAAAAAAAAAAAAGAATCAACCAGGACTGCTCCACCATTTTTAGTCCCGGTTGGTAATACCAACCGGGAATAAAGATGGATTTTTAGTCCCGGTTATTTCACCCGGGACTAAAGATGGGTATTTTTAGTCCCGGATTCGTACTCCCGGTTGTATAACCGGGACTATAGGGGGGTTTCTAACCGGGAGTAAAGCCCCTTTCTCTACCAGTGCGAGGTCCTCATGGAGATTTTTATCAGGCTGCCGGCGAAAACTCTTGCTCGTTTCAAGTCTGTCTGCAAGGCATGGCACACCATCATCTCTGAACCATTCTTCATCCGCAGTCATCTCCGCCACTCTGCCTTCAAGCATAAACAGGAGCCCTCCTTTTTTGTCATTTTGCATGCGCTGGACAATGTGGTTGAAATTACTTTCTCGAATAATGTCCCCGTCTTCCGGTGGAAGGATGGCCAGGGCAATGCATGCCTTGTGCATGCAATGGATTTCCATGGTGAGTATCAGATAATCAATAAAATGTCTCACTGTGATGGCCTGGTGTTATTCCCAACTGACACCAAGTTGTATGTGATCAACCTGACCACAAGTGATGTTCTTAGGTTGCCTGACAACCAAGAGTCTGATACGCTGAGGCAGGCAACTGGGCTGGGTCTTGACCCTCGCACCAACATGTACAAGGTTGCTCGATACTTCTACCGTTCTGTAGACCATACTATTGGGACTTATGATGCAGCTATGGAAGTGTTCTCAATTGGTCAGGATGCCTTCTGGAGGGAGACATCAGAGGTTCCACCATACCCAGTTCGCTCTATGGAAAGTCCCATTCACTCCAAGGGATATCTTTTTTGGAATATCGATGAGAGGTTCCTCAAAGGACAATCACGTGGTTTCCTTTGCTTCAGCTTAGAAGATGAAACATTTAGTCTTATCCCCCATCCCTGCCCATATTTGCCATTGAACCATGGAACATCACTCGTATCAGAGCTAGACGGGGAGTTATGCGTAGGTTTATTCATATCAGGTCAACAACAGTTATGGATGTACAATGGCAATCAGTGGGATCAGCGCTTCAGCATTAACGTACCCGGGCCAAATGACTTGTACATTCCATTAGATATTCTTCCTCATGATCAATTACTTCTTCAAAGGGGTCCACATCTGTACCACCACAACCACCAGTCAAGTGAAGACATAAAAGAAGTGGCACGCATGGATCAACTCAACTACCAGAGTCCCCCGGGAGAACCCTACGTCTACATGGTGATTCCCTACATGGAAAGCCTTGTCCGAGTTACATGTAACATGTAGAGGAGCTGATATAACATAATCATGTAATAATATATTTGGCTCTGCTCAATTTTGTTTGAGATATATGAAATCATCATATTTATTTGTTTGTTTTTTATTTGTTATCTCATGAACAAAGTTGAGTTTACTTTTAAAATTTTTCATGGTGGTACAATATCATTTCTTGTAAGTTCTTTTTAATTTACTTAGTACCCCTTTGATATGGAGGATTGTCATAGAAATTTTGAGGATGTAATTTTTTTAAAGGAAAATTTCCTATGGAGTCTGTTGATTCATAGGAAAGATAGGACATTTTTCGTAGGGTTGTATTGTTATAGTTAAATTTTATAGGAAAATAAGCAAGAGGGTCTAACCTCTTGGAAACTTTCCTTTGCTTTGTTAATTTCCTATGATGCTATCAAAGGGTTTCTCTTCATCTTTTGTACGTTTTCCATTCCCGTAGGACAAGAGAAATATGCTAATTCAATCCCTACGTCTTTTTTTCTATCTTGCGTTTCAAAGGGGTCCTTAATTGGTTCCCTTGTAAATTTGTTTTCTGTTCATTCGTATTGCTTTACAATGACTTTTCGAGTAGGGTAAACTGTTTTGACAGTTCAGAACTGGAAGGTCCACTTGTAGCTGTCAGAGTTACGTGGAACCTTGTGCTTATTGGACAATGAACACTGTATAATTATCCAAAACTAGGAAAACGGATATCAACTATTATTCCTCAGTGCTATAATTCAGGCATACCTGACTAAAAACTTTCTATTCAACCTAAAACAGGTAAAATGTAGCATTTGTCCATTTGATGGTCAAATCCTATGTTGGTAAAATATAGCATTTGTCCATTTGATTTTTTTTCCTACCATTAGTGATCTAATCATATCTTCACCAGAACTATAATAGTAATTTTAATTCTATGTTGGTATGTACATAAACTTGGTTATCCCTTGGCAACTTTGCAGGATGGGAAGGTATTGCCTAATGGACCTGTTGTGATTTCACCTGATGTTTATTTCCTTCATTGTACCAGGAAGGTAGCATCATCTCTCCAATATTTGCATATTCTTGATGACGACATCCTCCACTATTACCCGCTGGCAAAGACGCCAAAGTCGGGCGGCGACCGTGTGAGCCTCTGAATAATCCCACCTTGCTTAGCTTGGGAGGAGGAAGCCATTTTAAAAGGAAGAGCCACCCTTCCCCTATTGGACTAGTCTTTTAGGGAGATTGGGCCTTTCCCTAAGTGGGTGTGCCAAAGAACTGTTGGGGTCCGGACAACCTTAAGTTATTGGGCCTCGGCCAACCCCACCTGGGCCGGATTGTTATCATTTGGTATCAGAGCTGGGCCCCTGTTAAGGGAGTGGGAATGATGAGGACATCCTCCACTATTACCCGCTGGTAAGTTATTGGGCATCGGCCAACCCCACCTGGGCCGGATTGTTATCATTTGGTATCAGAGCTGTGCCGTTGTTAAGGGGGTGGGAATGATGAGGATATCCTCCACTATTACCTGCTGGCAAAGACGCTAAAGTCAGGCGGCGACCGTGTGAGCCTCTGAATAATCCCACCTTGCTTAGCTTGGGAGGAGGAAGCTATCTTAAAAGGAAGAGCCACCCTTCTCCTATTGCTTGCTTAGCTTGAGAGGAGGAAGCCATCTTAAAAGGAAGAGCCACCCTTCTCCTATTGGACTAGTCTTTTAGGGAGATTGGGTCTTTCCCTGAGTGGGTGTGCCAAAGAACTGTTGGGGTCCGGGCAACCTTAAGTTATTGAGCATCGGCCAACCCCACCTGGGCCGGATTGTTATCATTTCTTCTATTATGACTTGCTGAATAATGATTAGCAATCTGGTTTCACTGAACTACTAGGATGGTCTGTATAATTGGCAACCTTAAGTTATTGGGCCTCGGCCAACCCCACCTGGGTCGGATTGTTATCATTTCTTCTATTATGACTTGTTGAATAATGATTAGCAATCTGGTTTCACTGAACTACTAGGATGGTCTGTATAATTCAGGCTCAGCTTCGACAAAGAAAAGTAGCTAACAGTGATCAACAATACTGTTACTTTTGTGTACTGTAATAAAATTGTTGTTTAGCATGTTGTAATGTTTCCTTTGTTCTTCTCAGTTATACGAAGAGCACCACATGAGTTTAAGATTGCATGTATGGAGGTAATTCTCTTTAGGCAGTTGTCTTATGAGGATCGGGTTTAATACTCAATGTGCTATGATACTATGAAATATTATGTGCCAGTAAAACAAGCTAATTTTATTTGTTAGAATAAGAACTATGAGGTCTTGTTTGTATGTGCCTTTTGGTTTCAATTCCTTAGTGAACTTAAACCGAACAAGTCCCTAATAAATTATCCCTCATCCGCATACCATCCCTCCTATGGTTAAGAAGTTTGCTTATTAGCTTCTCCATTTTTAATTCTTGTATGGCATCATAACTCATATCCTTCAGAAATCACTATAAGACTTGCAAGAATTAAGAAAAGTTGTTATTGTCTCGAAATTCCTTTCTAACGGGTACATGACAATCTTAGAAACACACATTATTTAGATTCTTCGAGAGACCTGAAACTCCATGTTGGTATCACAGCAGGTTCTTGAAATTCTTTAATTTTTGTTCTTCGGCAGGGCATGCACTCCTCCCTTCTGATTACAATCCATTTTATTCTGGATTTGTCAACAGAGATACAGATAAGCTTAGTTACAAAAAGATGGGAATTCCAAAAGGGAAAATCTTTATCATCAACCCGAAGGTATGTCTATTACACCAGTTAAAAAGTTAGTGATCCCATGCTTGTATTGCCTTTTTATAGTCATCCTGTGTGCGTGAAGGGGGGGAGTAGCCATAAACAGTTCTGTTGAACTCCTATACCTCCTTACATACCCTTATCCATGATATGTTCCCTCCAAACACTCTTGTTGTGCAGGTTAGCTTGTCATTCTTCCCTTCTTGCAGTACGTACTTTTTAAGTAATGCATGAAAGGTCTTCTCTGCCGTAGCAATTACTATGGCCGACGATCAACGTCGTCCCAAAATAAGTGCCCCTTTCGAATTCAAAATTTCTTCCCATCTTACCTCTAATCACCCTCCCACTGCCAAACGCACATCATTTAATAATGGGCACTATATTGTTTTGTTCTTAAACCTTAATCTCTACCAAACAATCTAAAAGGGGCACTTATTTTGGGATGAAGTATTTACTAGCTATGTGTGTGAACTTGCTGTCCAGAATCCCAGGCACCAATATTTTTTCTTGCAAAATTGATGTCAGTTGATCTGATGTGGATGCATACTGCATAGTTACAGAAAGGTTACCAAGTTAAGTAACCGTGTTTTCTGCACATGGATAAAAGGCCACAGAGAATATATATATGTTATGTGTGCAAACTTTTCATGAGATTAGCTAGACCGAAAAACATGCACATTCATGTTTTCTTTTTCTTTGGTTCTTTCATACTATCCTGGACAAACTATTTTTATCCTTAGTGCATAGTCAACTCCAGTTCTATGCTGCCTGAGCCATACAGGTTACTGCTGGGAGCAAAGGGCAGCTAGTGTGATTGTGTTGTACTCATGGATGGTCGGACTCCATAACATGTAAATTTCTTTTTGTGCTGAACTGCTGATCATCAATGATGACGCCATGCAGGAAGACTACAATTCCTGGAATTACTGGAAGATGCCATCTCCAAATGTTGATCTGTAGTGTAGTTTTAACAAACACAGAAGTAGATACCACTAGATTCTGCATCAGCATAACAGTCAAGTTCGTGTACACAAATTATCATCGCTACGTCGGGGTTCTGTCCAATCTGTAAAGCATCTCAGGAGTTTCCATATTTATGGTTTTGATTTGATCTCCAATGCAAAGGTTGTCATTTTTTTTTTTTTTGCTTCGACGAAGCTCTCCTGATCATACATCTTTTAGGGAGTGATCTGTTATACTCTTCGTTGAACTTAGGCCTTAGCTTGTTAGCTTTCCAAGTTGTATCAGCAGCTGCTAGCCAGCAATTTTTTTTTTCCTTTATGTGTTCTTGTAGGCTTGTAGCTGCAACTCCTCTGTGATTAGATTACTCTGGTTCATGGAAGCAACAGGCAACCCAAAACTGTCAAATTACGCTGTATGTTGTACGAGAGAGAACATCGTACATTTCCTGCCCCATTTTCACTTTCTTGTGCTGTATGTAACCTTCAATGCCTGTAGCTGGTAAACGTTTCATGTGCTCTGTTATGCACGTAGATGGATTGGGTGTTCGACAGGAGGGCGAGGCTATAGATGGCCAAAGGGCCCGCCCGGCACGGCCCGGCCCAGGCACGGCTGGGCACGGCCCAGCAGCCATCGGGCCGGCACGGCCCGGCCCATGGGCTGCACCTCTCGCCCAGGCACGGCCCACCAGCTGTCTGGCCGTGCCGTGCCGGCCCGAAGGCATGGGTGGCCCATCGGGCCTTTTTTAAAATAAGTCTATTTTTCATCCCTCCTCTTTGGGCTATTTCATATGTATGGCTAAAATAAGTCCATTTTCCGTCCCTGCTCTTTGGGCTGACATATGTATAGCTAAAATAAGTCTATTTTCTGTCCCTCCTCTTCGGCTAACATATGTATAGATAA